ATATAACCATATTAGTGTGCAAGGGCTTTCTTCAAATGCAGTGCAGTGTTTGATGTGAACAGGCTTGTAGAATCAGAAATGCACTGTGGGTTACTCTTTTGTCAGTTAAAAACAAGAAGAGGAACTATAATGGATCACTGAATATTTGAAAACTGGGGAAAATACATACTTGGACTGGCAAATAGCATAGCATTTGTGTATACAAACGGTAGCTTCTTTTCATGGATGCATCCTGTTAGGAGTCAAAAGCACTATCTAGATCAGGGGTGTCAAACTCAATTCCTGGAGGGCCGGAGCCCTGCAGAGTTTAGATTCAACCCTCATTAAACACTCCTGATCCAACTAATCAAATCCTTCAGGCTTATGTGAAAACGACATGGTATGTGTGTTGGAGCAGGGTTGGAACAAAATTCTGCAGGGCTCCGGCCCTCCAGGAATTGAGTTTGACACCCCTGATCTAGATGGTGATATAATGATGGGATGTTGGGACCTTAAATAGTTTGCTCAGGAAAATAACATTCTGTCATCATTTATTCACCCTCATGTTGATCCAAACCTGTATGGCGTTTTCTTCCATAGAACACAAAAGGAGATGTTTGGCAGAATTGGCCAAACATTACTTTTGGCATTCAGTGCAAGTGATGGGGACTGATTGAAATTTGAATCATTATTAGCTGAAAATCTCCTCCTCATTTGCATCTCATTCACATTCAGATATGTTGCCTCAAGATGCATCATTTCTTTAATGCATAAATGCGGCAGGACATTCTGCATAGCATCTTTTGTGTTTTGTGTATAAAAGAAAATCAAAAGGAGATGTTTGGCAGAATTGGCCAAACATTACTTTTGGCATTCAGTGCAAGTGATGGGGACTGATTGAAATTTGAATCATTATTAGCTGAAAATCTCCTCCTCATTTGCATCTCATTCACATTCAGATATGTTGCCTCAAGATGCATCATTTCTTTAATGCATAAAAGCGGCAGGACATTCTGCATAGCATCTTTTGTGTTTTGTGTATAAAAGAAAATCACACGGGTTTGGAATGAAATGCGTGTAAGTGATACATTTTTTTATTTTTAGGTGAACTATTTCGGTTACTCAACAAAATTCTGCAGGTGCATAAGACTGACATGACACCTTCATAATCATGACATGACACCTACATAATCATGACATGACACATGTCATGAATATGAAGGTTTTTTATGGATGTTTATGACAACTGGCATTAAAGGCAGAGTAAGTGATTTTTCTAAAACACTTTAGAAAACTGATTCGGGCCGAATTGCAAAACAAACTTGTAGCCAATCAGCAATAAGGGGCTAGGTTAGGGTTAGGTCAAATAATGTCATATTTGCATTAAAAATGACATAACTGAGCGAATGACACTTAATGACAGTTGTCATAAACATGCATAAAACCTCCTTCATATTCATGACATGTGTCATGTCATGATTATGAAGGTGTCATGTCAGTCTTATGCACACCCCTTCAAGTAAAGTGTTACCACTATTTCTTTAAAACCAGTTATTTGCATATGCATTGCTCCTGAAAGCATGGATCCATTCAGGGGTACAGGGGTACCAGACCTTCACATTACCAGTCATGTTACAAAGTATCGTTAACAGTGTTTCCATGCTGCAAGAATTCAGACTGTGCTAGAAGCGAAAGATGGAGTTAATAAGACTACAGTAGGCAAGTGCACCAAATAAAGTTGCCACTGCAAGTACATACTTCACCTCCACACAATGCACAGCTGTGTCTCTAGAGGTGACTGCTGCCGTTTCAACAGCAAGTTCAGAGCCAAATGTGCTTAGTTTTACAATTTCCCCTCGGGGATCAATAAAATTGATATTTTAGATAACTGCGGGATTTTGAACCTCATTGCTACTCAGCCCAGAGCATACAAGAGAATGTAAAAATACACTCATCATTCACTCCTGCTGGCTGTAATGTTATGCCTTTAGAGGAACACAACCCTACTACAAAACTAATCTTCTGCAAAGGTTTTTTCAAACAGCCTTGTGTTTTTAAAAGTGTAAAGGCAAAAAATCCAGTATCTCAAAATGTTAGAATATTTCCTAAGATCAATCAATCAAAAAAAAAAAAAAGGATTTGCAAAACAGAAAAGCTCAAGTTCTTTAAAGTATGTTAATTTATGCACTCAATACTTGGTCGGGGCTCCTTAAGCACAAATTACAGCCTCAGTGAGGTGTGACATTGCTGAGGCACTATTGAGCTTTTAGCTCGGATCGACTGTTTCTCATCTTTCTCTTGAAAATATCCCATAGATTCCATATGGGGTTCAGGTCAGGCATGTTGGCTGGCCAATTCGTCTTCTGGACCATTGCCAAGTCAGCAGTCTTGCCCATTATTGTGGTTTCAAAGAACACGAGATACCCGGAATTTATACTGTAGGGATGGTAATTTAATGAAACTCAAATGTAAATATTCTAATATTCTGAGATACTGGGTTTTTGATTTTCATGAGCTGTCATCATCAAAATAAAAAATAAAAAAAACTTTTGAAATGTTTTAATTTACATTTAATGAATATATGAAAATATGAAAGTTTCACTTTTTTAAATAAATTACAAAAAAATGAACTTTTTCACGATATTCTAATTTTTTGAGATGCACCTGTATGTGTGTGTATATATATATATATATATACACACACACACATACATACATAAAATGTTTATTAGTTAAATTTTTATTTATAATGTTTATAATTATTTATTTTGTTATAACTTTTTATTAAAAACTAAGTATAATAAACATTTAAATGACTTTAATTTTCATTTATATTATATAAAACACTTGTCACTAAAATGGATTTACATCAGAAGATTCTAATTTCAAATATATACATAAGCAACAGTCATCTGGATTCAAGCAAAGGTCAGATGAGGCATGATTGTCCTTGAATACTTTGTACTGTTGAAAAATGCATTTCTTTATGAAAATTACAGTTGATTGTACCAAGGTTATAGCTGAACGCTCTCAGAACAACTCAAAACTGCCACTTCTAAACAACATATTTTTTTACAAAATTGCTTACAATGGGACTTGAATTTCTTGTATAGGGAGTTTCACAGATTCAGATCAAGGCCATAAGACAGTAAAGCGAAGCAATAAATGGACCTTGTTCATGCGAGGAAAATGCAAGCAAGAGCACATTTCTGTGCAAATCATTATTGAGTTGAACGCAATGATTTTACACAAGAAAGCGTTTTTGAACGATTTACACAATAGTTCTGCACGTTTCATGAATGAGGCCTGATGTTTTTCGGACTTTAATAGACAGAACAGGATCATTCTAGCACAAAAGCAGTGTCTGAAAAGCATCTGAAAAGATCAATTTGCATAATTAATAGAACTGACTCAAAAACACACTGATGAACGGCATTCAACTAAACAATTTTTTTAATTATTAATAATTTTACTAATATATAATAATGTTCGAAATTTAATATTATAAATGCATATTATTGCTACAAAAAAAGACAATATATAGTGCTGTGCAGCTGTCGTCACACTGAGTCAAATGAATAAACAAATCATTTAATTGCTGCATCCGAACTGATTAACTAATTGAATTTGACTTCTCAGTTCTTCAAATAAGAGACAGGATAGTTTTGGAGAGTTGCTTAATTATTGCCTCCGCTTGTTCAATTGTAAAGCTGTGTGTGCAAAACAACATGACAAAAACAATCCGTTTCTCACTCGTTAAGCTGCTCTGAACTATTGCTCTGAACGCTATTGAACGATTAAGAAAATACAAGACATATATTTTACGTTCACACCTTTTAATGTCTGGAGATTGTTGCGTCATCTGAATATTAAACCAAGAGCTTTCATATTCGACACACAGTCTTAAAGGGTAACCATGGTTGTGATGATGATCATACAGAATGGCTGATACAGCCATTAATAAGTAAAACTCAGAACAGTTTACTGGTTTGTACTTAATATACGTCAATAAAATACTCAAAACTGGGTTGTGTGATGTAAACATTGTCCTGCATCACTTATACGATGAAGAATTCACATATATATGCACCTACAAAGCATATTTGAAATATATTTATATATATATATATATATATACACACACACATGTATGAATACATTTACAATAATACACCAAAAATAGATTAGCTGGTTAACAAAGCACATGGGCCGAATTTAAAAAGGGATTTTGAAGACATCATCATCATTCAGGTGGCAAATAAACTGGGCAACTTGCATTTACAATGGCATCACAATGTCTGTTTGACAGTTCGACACAAATATTAGAAGTGGGAGACACATTATACATCTACAAAATTAAAATATACAAAAGTATATTTTCAGACTTCTGACATGTTAGACATATCATCCAATAGAGCGCTGCAGTAATGTATTTTTGTAGGCAAACCTGGAAGTTAGCATCACCTTGGTTCACTCGACAAAAACCCAATTGGTTTTAGGATTACTGTAGAAAATAAGGTCTGTGACCAGCAAAAGTTTGTGATTCTTACATGTTTCATTCATCGTGAAAATCTTCACAAATGAACACCACTCACCAGAAGTAAAAAGGTAAACAAACTACACAACGATCGCATGATTTCAGCGTTACCACCGTTACACTTCCAATAACACTTTAGTCTTTTCCCTGAAAGTTTGAGTTAGAATAGTTTAAGAGCGCCATTAAAAACACGAGGCTGTGAAAGCGACAAGCGAGTAGATTAGTTTACCTGTTCAGCGCGATGACGTTTAATGTCCCTGACAACCTCTATACACCTAGTTTGCCACTTAGCAACTGCCTTTTTCAAGACAAGTACAAGACAAAGCTTTAAATAAAAATCACAAGAGGGTTTTACTGATGCATTTTATGCCTTAGAATATAATGCGAAAATATCTTGAGCTTGCTTTTAACCATGCATTAAAAAAAAAACCATTGACTTCAGGACGATGGAAACTGAAGTACTAAAATGCAAACTCGTCTCCAGGATTTGGCCTACAAAAATATGTCATACCTGCAGCACTGTATTGAGCTGGAACATGCACTTGTAGCCACTGAGGAAGGCCAGAGGAAGTGCACCATAACTGTACCAGGACTGATAGGAAGCCACGTCCCTTTCTGTAAAGTGTCCGTCTTCCTAGAGTCCCGTGAGTAAAGCTGGCATTAAAAGTCTCTGTTGGTGGTGTTAAAGTCTCCTCAGATTGTGCTCTTCCTGACAGGAACCCCGTTTGAGACTCATGTCGTCCAGAGCTATTTCGCCTTTACGGCCTCTCCGCCGCTCGCCCTTCACAACCACCTGTAATGACATAAATCACAAAACAGCGATGCTGGTTTCCAGCTGACCTGCTCTCAAATGGTGATGTGAGTGCTGACACTTACGCTTTCTAGCCCATTGCCCCAAATGGTGATCTGCGTCGACCTCCAGCCGTTTCCTCCCGTTCGACCCCAGACGGCGGGACTGTGCTGCCGTCCCTTCTGGACGAACACCTGCAGCATGCCCACGTGGTGCCCCGCCATGTTGTGTCTGAAGGCCAGGCAGAGGTTCCCCTCGTTCCAGGGCGTGGTCAGGGGGAGGATCAGCTGAGCGCCACGCCCACCTAGCTTCTCTCCGCCCTCTGAGATCGTCAGGTAACGCCCACCTTTTAATGGCATGGTAAGGTTAATACAGGTTTATATATGAAAACTATATCTCCACAAAATGCATGATTAAAAAATGCATGATATTTGAAAAAAAGGAAAAAATGTAACCTTGAAAATGTTTTAAAAATCTTTCTTTAATGATTAAAAAGTGTATTTGAAATTTTAATACTTTATACAAAATATTTACCGAACTTGACCTTTTTAGATTCATCAAATAAAGTGTGAAACATGAATACAAAGATTGCATGGCACCTGCATCAAGTTTTAATTAATTTTTCTTTTTATCATCTGAGACTTCTTCATTTGTCATTGACCCAAAAACATTTTATTAAAAAAATAATAAATAACTATGAAAAATGGTCTGTACCTGAAGGATCTGCTGTTGTCTCCCAGTGAAGGTCTCCCTCTCTGCGCTGGATCCATGCACAGAGACCGTGGTCAAAAGAGCAGCTCAGATGTCCAGTCTCTGTGGAATACCACACAATGGCTCAAAAATCCAACTGACAAGAATTAAATACAATTTTAGAAATTACTTTGAAATGAAAAAAATATATATTCATCATTTTGTCAATATGAACATTCACAATTGCTGTGGGACATTTTATTTTTCAGCAGTGGACAAGGATTGTGCGCCATTCAGAATTTAATTGAACAAATAAGGCAGCAAACAATTGTAGAATTGTAATTTTTAAGGAATTAAAATGAAATCAAATTTTAAAAATTACATAAGAATGGTTGTCAATAAAGCACATTTCATTTTTCAGTGTAAATTACTTAAAACGTGGGACAAAACATATAGGGTATTTCCAGAAACATTAGTTAGATATTAATAATAAATAAATAAAGTTTAAAATGGGACTTCTGGAATTTTTTATTTAATTTTCATTACATAAAATTAATTTTACTTTTATGGAATAAAGAATATTCGTAACACTTTACAATAACCTAACAGATACATTTTGATTTTAAAAATGTATTAGTACATGCTGAAATTTAAATTAGCAATGATTAATTAATGTTTTAGAAGAATTTTTCAATGTTACTGTAGTTCATGTTAACTAATGTAAGGTTAACTAAGGAAGTTCATTGTAAAGTGTTACCAAATAGTCCAACGTTTTCTAATATACCTTAATACTTTTGTACTGTACGTGCATATTAGTATTTCTGTCAGGACCACTATCGTCAAAATGATAGATACTTAGCATAAAGTTTGGTTTGGCGGTATGGTTCTGTTCTGGGCAAAAAACTCCCTGCCCATCCATGCAGCCTGTCATGAATGAGCAGGGAGAGCAGCAATAATAACCCCCCTAGGGTTAACAGAACAGAACAAGGCAGATATCATTAATGTACTTGATATTTAAGTGTAACACTTTATTCAATATAAAGGAGTCTGATTAGCAAGGAATATCAGAAAGCCAATTCCTGACTGTGGCGAAAGGAGGAGCTGGGGATGGAGGAGGGTAATTTGCTCCGTAGCAAGCTGAAAAGCTGCTGAATAATACTGAATAGAGCTTATATAGGAATGCCGCGATAGGTGTCGTATTCCTATAGGTAGATGTGATCAGCTGAGAATCGGCTGATGCAAGCTTGACTCACGTGACCTGCCAGAACTAACGCTAACGCTTAATTTATATGGTAGATATTTGTATCTTTTGAAAGGAGACGTCCCAGTGACAGCTTTTGTACCTTTTTTTAGCTGGTATTTTTTGTAAATGTCTGTTAGTTTGGAGGAATATGTCTTCAGAATTAAAGTCATTCACAAATATACAGTCTTAAAAATAAAGGTTCTTTATTGGCATAAATGGTTCCACAAAGAACCTTTACCATCCATGAAACCTTTTCTTTACACAAAAGGTTATTTACAGTGGAAAAAGGTTCTTTAGATTATTAAAATGTCCTTGCACACTAGGAAAAAATGGTTCTTTTAAGAACTGTTCACTGAAAGGTTCTTTGGGGAACCAAAACTGGTTCTTCTATGGCATCGCTGTGAAAACCCCCTTTTGGAACCTTTATTTTTAAGAGTGTAAAGGAAAATAAACATAGTCAAATTTAATGTTGTAATATCAGATATCTATAAAAAAAAAAAAATTTGTTTCCAATCAATGGACTGCCTTGACAGATATCTGTTTCTTATAGGTCTCCCTCCACACTGGTAGATAAAAATCAATCATGTGGCTGGTGGCAAGTGTTAATTTCTCACACCCTGTTTGCATACAAACAAAATACTGGTTAAGGCTCTAAGCTGCTATTCCCAGCGTTACGGGATCGATTCAAGATGCCCATTAACTGAGATCCTCTATTATCATCACGGCCCTGAGTAACACACTGAACAGATCGCTCCAGGGGAACTGCCCTTGCAAGCCAAGTAGGTGAAACTGCTAAATGAAAAGTAACTCAAAACTGTGCTATTCCTGAATTTCCCACAGGGTTCAGTGAAGCGTGGGTATTTCATGAAGGCCAATGAAAGCTGCTCACCTCACACCACTGAGCCAATTCATCTGGAGGGACATCATAGTAAGTCAAGATTAATAACTACAAGATGACTGTGAGGTAATTGCAAATATACAGTCTCACTGTGTTCCCATAAAGTACAGTATGTCTGTTTCTATATATCTACAGACTACAGCAATCATCAAACACTGAAAATCCATCCGCAGTTTCAGCCAAAATAAAAGCAGCCGTCTCTTACCTGGGTCATCCTTCAGCTCCTCTTCTGTGTTGCCCAGTTCAATGTGTAAATCGATATCAAGCACATTGTTCTGCCCATGACTTCGTGGTACTAGAAGGGAGAAAAGAAAACAAACAGTTAGACTATAGTGAGTAGTATAGTATAGTGAGTATGCAGTATAGTGAGTAGGTGATTAATCTTTTAAAAATATTATGTAATAATAACACTAGAACTAAATGGCATTGTTTAATTGTTTTTGACTGCATCAGTAAGACACTATATTGTGAATGGCTAAAGGGCTCGCAGTCTCGCACAGTCTCTCGTACCTTATGGCTTAACCGAAACAAATAAATGTTGGGGACAAGACAATTATCGGCCTCAATTCTTTAACCTATAACCAAAATACAGACTTAATGGGGGATTGGTGACAAGTGAGAGTGTGTACATCAAATATATGGCAGGATAACAACTGGATGGAAGTCAAGTCTGTGATTAGTCTATTGATTTCAATTATCCCTTAAGTCTTTGCTTGTGAAAGCACTATGTGCAGCCCGTCCTCGAACCTAATAAGAACATGTAATAAACCAACTTCACCTTAGGGTCGTTTCCAAACACTGCAGGTGTTCATGTTGGGGCTGTTCAACTTTGACATGCTTGTTATTGTTTCTAATTGATCAAGGAGACATAATTATACTTTATCCCTAGGAGTCTATTTGCTTTATTTCCCCACTGTTATTTTCAGAGGCATCATTATTTATTAGGCCTATTTGAGCCCTCGAAGGCAGTGCAGGGTAACTGATTTATGTCCTGAGGCAAGGCCGACTGGTAATGTAATCTCTCTAGGTGTCTTCTGTTTTCATTAGGTGCTGTCATCTGGATGGGAGGCTTTGGGGTGCAATTTGCTTCCCTGAAAAATCTGCCTTGTGGGAAGCCCAGGAGATGCCCAAAAAAAGCTTATGAATGTGAAGGAAACAACATAGTCCTTTAGGCCTGGAAATGGTTTTCCTGGACAGATCCAAAGGCCTTCATGGCTCAGTCCCAAATGATGCACTCAGCGGTTCTCCTCTGAATTCACACATTGGTTACAAAACAGCACACGGACTGTTGCGTAGACTAGTGCGAGCTCAGCAAAGAGTGCATTGAGGTGGCACTGGGGAGCATGTTTCTGAATCATAAAATTATATGGCACACACTATGGTATCAAAGGGCTTTAAAGCAAGTAAGTTCACTAGGTGGCTATCTTGGAAACTCCCATAGCAGCTGTTTCCTAGCTCCAATCGATCTGAACATGGAAAGATGCCTGAAATCTCTAGACATCAAATGTTTGTCAAGTATTCATTTCGATATCTTATAAAACTGGTCAATTTACCCTTCGCTGGGAGTTTGATTGACAAGTGATCATATTACCAAATCTGCCATTTTTGTCCGACAAACAAACCAGACGGAGAGTAGATTAATGTTGGTGGAATTGAACTTGAAAAGTGTATTGACATCTTTTGGTTGAAACAAGTTACCTTCTGATTTGCATTTGTTTATTTCATAAAATAACTAGTAAAGAGGAAGAGATGATCGGCACTACAGCGATCTGTCACGACACATTAAAGTGACACATTTATTGTTGGAATTTCTTTAAAAAATGACAAAATTTGAAAGCTGAGACTTTGTTTGACACCAGAAGTAACCTGCTCTGTCTTGTCTGTCGACGCGTTGTCAGTTTGCGTGATTTTTCACATGATGTGTGGTGTGAGAGCGCCATGGCTTGTCGGACATTGCAACAGTAACTAAGGGGACAGGTCTTTGCGAAGAGTCATTTCAGGCTCAAAAAACGTACAGGTTGGCTCAACTAATGCAGGGGTATCTAATCTTTCCCCTGGAGGTCCACTGGCCTGCAGAGTTTAGCTCCAACCCTAATTTTACCTGAATCAAGTTAGTCAAGGTTATTCAGACTCACTAGAATCTTCCAGGCAGGTATGTTGGGACAAGTTGGAGCTAAACTCTTAAGAAAACTGGTCCTCAGGGAGCAGGATTGGACACCTCTGGTTCCGCTTTTTCTGGTTAAGGCAGTTCAGAGCAAAACTCTTCAGGACACTGGTGCGCCAGGAGCAGGACTGGACACCCCTGTGTTTGGCGAATTTTCATAAGCGAAATCCAGTCATTTCATTAGGAATCCAAGTGATCAGGAATTTCATGCAAGGCCTAAAGATTTACCCATGCAGATTTAGCAAAGGGTTCAAGTTGGTCGCACTGATTTGTCACGTTGACCTACAAAAAGCTGCTTGTTTTGAAAGTAACTTCTGTGCGAGTCGCCCAAATTTCGTTAATGTGACCGCACTTTAAGGCAGAGGAATTGTGACAATCTAAATAACATTGAAGCAGATTTACTTACTGTGAACATCCCCTCTTTGTTTCTGGGTAATGTCTTTAATGCTGTTATCAACTGGCGTCACAAACGGGATGAAAGGTCTGCGTGTTGGGATAAAGGGAACCACCGCTGTAACCACCGGGGCTTTTGTGGTAGGCTGCTGACGGGATGGGAGCTTAGGTTTGGTTGTCACCACCACAGGGGGTTTACGTGTCGGGATGAGAGGCCTACGGGTGGTGGTCGTTGGGACTCTCGCTGGAGGGGTGATTTTTTTGGTTGAAGGAGGTTTAGTGGTTATTGTTGTTGCTGTAGGTGAGATCCGTTTAGCCGTCACAGGTGGTCTGATTGTTGTGGTGGTCCTCTTCTGGTCTGAGCCTGGAATTTTATTGCCCCCTTTGTTGTTATTGTTGCTCGGCGTGGTCTTTCCAGGTCGTGGCGGGTCAATTACCACCTTTGGGATGGCTAAAAGAACAAAGAGGATTCTTAGTTTAATTTGAAGTTAAGTTAATCTCAACCAAGTCTTTTTCCTCGTTGCATAGGTTTAAATCTGGCATAACTGGCATTCAGATGGTTTAACTGGTTGTCATGTTGGTCTCCAAGCCTGACCAGCTAAATAATGCCCAAAATGCAATTATTTTTTATATTTTTAAAATATAAAAATATTTTTTAATTTATTTAAAATATTTTAAAATAAATGTTTACTGTAAGTTAAGCTAATAATACAACAACTAGACTAACCAGTTGAAAATATCAAAAAAAGAGGTCTGGTTTAAGTTGTTTTTCATTATTATTCACATATTTTTCAGGACCATTAGTTCTTCCCTTTTTCTTGTTGTATTTTTGCTGTTACTCTAGCTTTGTAATTCATCATAATTATGTCAAATAAGGCTCCAGTAGAAATTTCACCATTCATTTTAGATGAAAATAAAAAGGATGGTTTCAGCTCATGTGTACAATGAATGCACGAAAGCCATCCATCACATTCGACGTGAATACCAGAAGTGTAAACCGTCGTGCTTGTGTCGTCCTTAAGGAATGAATGTGACAATACTATCTCAGGTTTCACAGGAGCTTTGATATGCGATTCCCAAAAAAGCAGTAATTCAACCCTTTCAGCACTTCTGAGTTACACCTGGCTGAAAGTTTCTAGACCAGATGCTGAGGAGGGATGTGTTGCCTCATTGGTTTAACATTGATTAAATCAGGTGTCAGACTCAACACAACTGTATTTTTGTCCACTCAACAAATAATAACAAGATCAAGACTACAGCAATGCATGTATAACACTACACAGATAAAGCCACTGACAGTGGTGTGTAAAAGCAGCGGAGTGCTCAGTTGTGATGTCACCTGATGCTCACGGTGAGCCTCTCTTTGTTCACGAAGATTAAAAACATGGCAGCTATCAACCTCAAGACACTCCTGACTAAAGCCACAGCAGACAAAAGCATTCCAGACAGGGAGATGATTCGCAAGACAGATATTTTCTTTCAGATCTAAAGTGTTGCAACAACATCAACAAAATCTCTTCAGCCACATACTATTTAACTTTTTTAATTAATTTAAATTAATCACCAGGAAATTATTGCCAGCATTTTTTTTTTTTTACTATTTCATTTTATTTATTTATTTTTCTAAAGGATATATACAGCGTGTCAAATAAATATTGAACACGTTACCATTTTTCTCTGTAAATATTTTTCTAAAGGTGCTGTTGACTTGAAATTTTCACCAGAGGTTGGTAACAACCCAAGTAATTCATACATACATACAAACAAAACAAAACAAATAAGTTCAGAAATTAAGTTATGTGTAATAAAATGGAATGACACAGGGAAAAATTATTGAACACATGAAGAAAGGGAGGTGCAAAAAGGCATGGAAAGCCAAGACACCAGCTGAAATCTATCAGTAATTAGAAAGCAATCCTGCCCCTAGTCAGTGGAAATTAATATTAGCTGGTTCAGTCCCAGCACCTACAGTACCAGGATGAAGAAGATGAAACAAGGGTGGACATTTCAGCAAGACAATGATCCCAAACACAGCCAAGGAAACTCTCAATGTTTCAGAAAGAGAAAGTAAAGCTGCTAGAATGACCAGCCAATCACCTGACTTGAATCCAATAGAAAATAAGAACTAAAGATCAGAGTTCATAGAAGAGGCCCACAAAACCTTCAAGATTTGAAGACTGTTTGTGTGGAAGAATGGGCCAAAATCACACCTGAGCAATGCATGCGATTAGTTTCTCCATACAGGAGGCGTCTTGAAGCTGTCATTACCAACAAAGGCTTTTGTACAAAGTATTAAATAAATTTC